ACAGAAGGAAGCCAAATGGTTAATGTGATAAATGACATTTGAGTTTATGATGTGAAGTCCACCTTATAGTTTGGTTGCTTTTAATATTTCATGTAGCATTTCTGTATCTATGTTTATGAATGAGTTTGCCTGTAGCTTTTCTTTTTAATATTGTCCTCCTCTTTTTCATATCAAATTCAACTGGCCTTATAAAGTGAGTTGGGTAATCTTCCCTTTTTCCTTCCTCTGGCAGTGTGTGGATAGGGAATATCATTTTTCCTTAAATGTAGGGCAGGATTCTCTGTTGACGTCCTCTGGATGTGGAGTTCTTTCTGTGGGAAGGTTTTTAGTTACAGATTGAATGACTATCTCAGATGATTCAGATTTTTCAGCTCTTCTGCCAATTTTTGATCACTGTATTTTTCTAGAAATTTACCCATTTGTATAAAATTTCATAAAGATTGCTACATCTTTTTCATAGTACCCTCTATTTAGCTTCCTATGGCTATTATAACACTGTGTCAAAATGTAGTAACTTAAAACAACACAAATTATTCACTTATTGTCTGTGTTGGTCAGCTTTCTATTAATGTAACAAAATACTTGAGATAATCAACTGAAAAAGAGGGAGGGTTATTTCAGCTCACAGTTTCAGAGGATTCAGTCCATGGTCAGTTGGCCCCATCACTTCTGGCCCATGGTAAGGAATGCATGGAGGGCCAGGCTGCTCAACTCATGGCTGCTAAGCAAAGACAGGAAGAAGAAGGGAGTGTAGTCCCACAATCCCCACCAAGGACACACCCTATGACCTAAGACTTTCCACTAGGCCTTGCCTCTTAAAGGGGCCCCACCACCTCCTAACAGCACAGGTTGGGGACCAAGCCTTTAACCACATGGGCCCTTGGGGGATGCTCAAGCTCCAAAGACTGAGTGCTGGAAGAGACCAGATGGGTTTTACTGGACTGAATCAAGCTGTCAACAGGGACACAGGGAAATGCTCTTTTCTCTGCCCTTCCCAGCTTCTAGTTCCCAACATGCTCCTCAGCTTGTACCTGCTTCCAGTCTTCAGCGAGCACCACTGCAAGCCTGCCTTCCCCTGCTTCCATAGACCTCTGCTCTCTGACCCCTCTCTGGCCCCCTCCTTTCAGGACACCTCCTTTGTAAGTCCTCCAGACAATGCAAGCTCATCCCCTTCCTGCAGGTGCTCACCTGGATCACACCTTCGGTCTCTTTGTCCTCTGAGGTGACACAGGGATTACAGCACAGATTCCTTGTGGACCATTGCTGAGCCCACCACATCCTCTCACTGGCTTTCTAATGTCTGAAGGACATGCAGTGTCTGCCTCTCCTCTTCTGATGAATCTCTGTGCTTCTTCTCTCTTTTTTCTTGTCAGTTTCTCCTGAGACCTTGCTATCAATCTGGTCACACAAGCCAGGTACACAGTATGCTTAGCTGTGTGTGCAAAGCCAAGTGCAGAGACACAGCTGTCAGCCATGGGTTGGCCACCTGCTGCTCACTGTGGATGTGCACACGGTTCTCGGCTGTGCAGACAGACATCGCAGTCCAGGGTAGGAACCCTTGATCCCTTGGACTCTGTGACATTAGAAAAGCACCTACTTTCTCTGTCACAGCAAGGGCTGAGGTCTACAGGGTGCACACAGCCTGGGCTCCCTCCTGTCCCATGGCTCAGTGTCCTGCAGGAGGTGCACGGGCACCTGTCAGGTGGGTGAGGCTGGGGTTCACGCCTGGCAGTGGTTGTGGACATTTGTCATAAGCCCTGGTCTCCATCTGACTGTCAGAGAGACACACGTGAGGCCCCTTTTCATGATGAGAAGCTGGTCTCCAGGGAAACAGGCTCAGGGAAGATAACCCTTGTTCCTCAAGCATTTTCAAAGAACTAATTTCTGATTTCATTAATTTTCTCATACTTTTTTTCCATTTCATTAATTTCTGAGTTCATTTTTATTGTTCTCCCCTATTTCCTTTGGGTATTTTTGTTTTAATTTTTTGAACTTTTTAAAAAATGGACACTGAGCTCATTCATTTTCAGCTGTGGCTATTTCTACATATAGGTGGCTACAGCTTTTTGAACATTGTTCAACTGCCTCCTTGTGTGTCTGCGCACCTGGCTTCCGTTCTCATTCTGCTCAAAATATTTTCTAATCTGCATAGTGCTCTTTTCTGTGGGTTACTTTAATGAACATTTCTTAATTCATAGTTACCTTTTTTGTTAGATTTTTAACTCAGTTACCTCATGTCAGGTTTTTATGTGTGACTTCAATCTTTGGAAGTTTGTTAAGACTTCTTTTATGCCCAAAATATAGTCAATTTTTACAAAGTGTTTCATTTATGCTTGAAAATAATATGCATTCTGCAGCCAGGTGCAGATGTCTTGAGATGCCAATTTGGTGAAGCATGTGGATTGTGTATTTCTCATCCTCATTGTCCACAATTATTTTCCTCTGTCTGCTGGGTCATCAATCACTGGGATGTGATTTGTGGTTCCACCATTTTTGCTTTGATACTATTGAAGCTATGTCACTAGGCCTCAATATGGTATCAAATATTGTGATAAACAGATGTTCACTGTATTGTTTCAGGAGAGATAACCTTTATAAAGTGCTTCTGTCATCCAGTGATTTTCCTTTTCATGCTATTTTGCTTATTAGTGATAATCCTCTCCTTACTTTTTTGACCAGTGTTTGCATGTTTACTTTTCCTTTCCACTTCTCTGCATCCTGAAGTTTTTATATATAATATCTCTTTTAATCAGAAATAGAGTTTTGGTTTGTTTTGCTTTGTAGCAGTACTGGGGGGGTGAAATCCAGGGCCTCGTGTGTCCCCCAAGGTCTAATTTCCAAAAACCATGTTGACAGTCTTTGTCTTTCACCTAGAGAATCTGGCCTACTTGATTTTAGTCTAATTTCTGATTAAGTTCTCTGATTTAAATCTATTTTTTGGTATGTTCCTACCTGTATAACCTCTTCTTATGTGTCTTTTTCTCTCTGTTCTTGGCTTTGGTGTTGAATATTCTTTCATCATGTGATTTTTGTTTTCTCTTAGTTTGACTATTCTATTGTAGCTTTCCTAGAAATGTCTGTATCCCTCTGTAGTAGTCATCTTTCCCACTGCTGAGAAACAAGACCCCACATCCACTACTTAGAGGAGAGGTTTAATTTGGCTCCCAGTCCATGGTCAGCTGGCTCCAAGGCAGAAACATGGCAGAAGGGCATGGCACAACAAAGCTGTTTAGTTCATGGGGGCCAGGAAGCAGAACAGGGGAGCAGCACCAGAGAGGAAGGGGTGGGCAACCAGATAGATACAGGCCCCTGAGGCCACACTTCCATGATCCACCCAGATACAACTGGAAGTGTGCTCCATCAATCCTGAGTGGATCCCAAATCCAAGCAAGTTGACACAATCAAGCTTAGCCATCACACTGTCCTTTACTTACTAGAACAAAATGTTAATTGCTTTTTTTCCACTCCCCCAGGCAATCTAAGGACCTAAGATCTAACTCCACTTAAACTTTTCCAACTCACATGCTCTTGTGTTTGCTAATTCCTTGTATTTTTAAATTCCTTAAAAATGTATGTGTAGTCCAGGTCACATAGGTGTGACTTTTTGTTTTGCTTTGTTTTTTCAGGGCTGAGGATTGAACCCAGGACTTTGCACCTAGTAGACAAGTACACTACCATGGTGTCCCAGACATTTAGGGTATTATGTTGTGAGACTCCAGATCTTATTTGAATCTTCCCTATTACTGTTGCCAGAGGTGGAAGTGTAGGCTTCTCACTCAACTTCTTTCCCATCCCAGGGAGAGGAGGGTCTTGTTATCCTAGGATATAAGTTATCACCTTCATTGAACTTGTAATTCTTCTGCTTTTTGTTCTTTTTTCTTTCTTTTTGTTCTCTTGTTCATTGAACAGTTGTCAGTGGTACCATGGTTCCACCAGAAGTAATTTATTTCCATTCAACTAATCCCATCCTACTCTCCTCTCTGGCTGTGTACAAGATTTTGTCACAGTTGTTCTACATTTTGATATTTCTAGGTGATAATTTCTATTTATTTATCTTATTTGAGAGATTCCCTGAGTTTTTAAAATCTATTGACAACCATCATGAGTTGGAAATTTTTCAACTGTTATTATTTCACATGTTACTTCTGGCTCAATTATTTCTCCTTTTCTCCTAGAATTCCAATTCCACACTGACATACTCACTCTACTGTCTACATTTTCTCCTTTTCCTTTGCTTTCCCTCCTTGAGGCCCAGGTTTTACTCCATATGGTGAATTCAGCTCTTAAACCCATCAATTGGATTCTTCATATCAGTTGTTGGCTTTTCAGTTCAAAACATTTTATTCAGTTCTTTCAATATGCCCATCACTTTACCTAGATGCACTTCCTTGCTTATATTTTCAAGTTCTACTTTTATCACAAAAGCATCTGTAGTCCGCATGTAGCTTAAAGTCAAGGTCTTCTCTTTGCCCATCTGGGCCTTCATGGATATTTCAGCTCTTGTCTGCTGGTTCTTCTTCTGCTCTTTGCTCCTGTGGGTGCTGGTTTTGTCTATGTGTTAGATGCATTTGAGAAAGTCTTTGTAGAAAGAGGTGAAGGCACATGTGACTTTCTCTTCTCTCCGAGCCAATTCACTGCATCTCCAGTTGCCTGGAGGCATCAACATTCCAGGTTTACCTGGATTCCATTTAGAGGTAGAGATTTTTTAGCACCACCTTGATTACTCAAAGCTAAGCTGCGGGACATGAAAAAACTTTATTTCCAACTTGCTTTTCATTCGTAAGTTTTGGAATGCAGCCCTAAGTCTAGGGGAAGGGTGTTTGTGGAGGCCCACAACTAGCTGGCCAGTTCGGCGCGCCTTCTCTAGGAAGCTGCCCAAAGTGCTTCCATGTTCCCCATGCAGACCAGCTGGGGAGGCCTGGGGAGGCCAGATGCAGGCTGCTCCTTCCTGGGTCTTAGATTTTTCTCACTATCTTATTAAACTTTGATGCTTCTTTCAATTTTTTTTTTTTTTTTGTATTGGGGATTGAACCTAGTGCCTTTACACGAATCTATATCCCTGGGCCATTTTTAAGTTTTTGAGACAGTGTTTGGTTAACTTGGTAAACTGCCCAAGTAAAGACCTTGCGAAGGCACTAAGTTGCCCAGGCTGGGCTGGCACTAGCAATCTCCCTGCCTCAGCCTCCCGGAGGGCTGGGCTTATAGGTGTGCACCACCACATCCAGCAGCCCATCTTCTTTAAATCCTCTGCCCAGCTGTTTCCTTACCTTCCCTGGAACATGGTCTGAGTCATGCAGCCCACATTAGCTGGAGGACCCCAACTCCAGACCCCTTTACATCAGACTCTTCTGGAGCTCTGCCAGGTCACAGAGCTCAGGACCTCTCTGCTCTTGGGCCCCTCATCCACCTCCTCTGAGCATGTGGGTTTCCCTTCTTCCTTCTGTTTCTTCCAGGTCATGCTGGTTCTACCCAGACAGCCCTCTCTCCCTCTCCCTCTCTCCCTCTCCCTCTCTCCCAACTAGGCATAACTCCACTGCTCCATCTCTCCGTCCGGGGATCGAGGCTCCACTGCTCCATCTCTGCATCTGCAGATTGAACTCAGGACCTGGAGAGAGGGAGAGAGGAAGACAGGCAGAGAGAATCAAACTCAGGACCTTATACTTACCAGGCAGGTGCCTGCTCCACTGAGCTACATCCCCAGTCTCTCACTCTCTCACTTGATTAGTATCAATTAAAGGGCTGCAGCTTGAGCTCATGCCAGAAGATCGGTTTCAGGTGCAGGGATTCACTTGATCTCGTGAAGTTCCAGAAGAAAAAGAGCCAGGCATAGTGGCCCATGCCAATGAACTCAGAACTCTGGGAGGCTGAAGCAGGAGGATTACAAATTTAAGCCCAGCCTGGGCAACTTAACACCTTAGCAAGACTCAGGAAGCTAGCAAGATCCTGTCTCAAAATAAAATGATGAAAGAAGGGCGAGGATATAAGTCAGGATTCCATATTCTAATAAATTAGTTGAGTGAACTTAAACTAAATGTCCTTAGCCATTTTAAATGGACATTGGCACTTTCAGGCTTCTGGGAAAAACAGGACTGAGCTTTATTTAATCTTGCTCTATGGTGTTACCCGGTACCATTAAAGGGTCAGGGGTGGCTTGACGTGTCAACTGCAATTCAGATCCTTCCTCACTTATTAGGGACTCTTGGGGTTGGAGGAAGGAAATGGTGAAAACATAACAAGGACTTAATGAGTAAGGAACTGAAGAATGATAGCATGCTTTAAACCAACAGCTTATTCTTTAAAAGTAAATAAATATAATAGTCGATCCCAGAACAATCTAATCAATACCGAAAATAAATTAAACGAGGCAAAAGAAGGGAGATCAGACGAATTCACAGAAGGTTTTCAAAGCCTTGGAGAACACTTATGTACAATTTTACACCGACAAATTTTAAAATCTCCATGAAATGGACCATTTTCTGTTAAAGTACCCAAAAAGATTAAAGTAGAAGTAGCTGATCTGGGGTAAAAATGCCATTTATCATCTCTGTTACCTGGTACTTCTAGCCAATTAAATTTAATGAGGAAGTAAGTTGGTACAACAGGGTGAGTCGCCTTAGTGAGAAGACAAGGTTCTCATCCGCCCAGGAAGTGTTTGTCTAATAAGAAGCCAGGAGTATTCACAGAAAACGACTGGAATCATGAATAATGGAGCACTGTAGTCACAGGAGGAAGGACAGGCCCAGGGATCATCCGATGCAGAAGAGGTAAACAATTAAATCAAGTTACTGACGTGAAATGGGCAACCCTTGTTTAGAGGAAAAGGCACAAGCTCTAGTGAGGATCAGGGCTGTCCTAGGAGGAGGCTAGTTTTGGGGGAGCCTCTGGCTCAGGGCTCTTCCCAGGCTGTGGTGTGTGGACACGTGAAATATGGATGTGTTCACACAGGACAAGAAGGGACACACAAGGTGCTTAAGAGTGGACATGTCCAGGGAACAGGATCACAGAGTGTCTCAGGCTGCTTTCTGTTGCTGTAACAAAATACATGAGACCAGATAATTTCAAAGGAAAAAGGTTGATTTGGGCTCATGGCTCTGCAGGCTGGGAAGACTAAGAGCTTGGTGCCAGTGGAGACTCTGTGTTGCTTCAACTTGTGGCAGAATATGGAAGGGTGAGTAGAATGTGTGGAAGAGGAAAACAGGAGAGGATACTTTGCTTTATAACAAACCATTCTTGTGGTCACTAACCCAATTCCCTGAGAACAGCATTAATCCCTCCCAAAGACTGCAGCTCCTCTGGAAGGTTCTAGCGCCTGTCAACCCTGTCCCTTTGGGGACAACACTTCAACCTGTGTTTCCGTGGGGACAAACCACATGAAAATCAACAAGGAGTTCAGAGGATGAAGCACCGCTTACTGGTTTTACTCTGTATTTTTCTGCATTGTTTAAATTTTTTGTAAGCATGAATTAGTTTGTACTTAAATAATCATATTTAAAACTAAGGAATGGAATACATATTAAAGCATCAGAGCTCTTTTTCTAGGTAGGTGGAAGATTCTAGGTTAGTTTCGTTGTTTTCTTTAGACTCTGTTTTCTAACTTGGCAACCATGAGCATATGTCACTTTTATCCACCCAACAAATCGATCAACATTATAAAAAGTTAAGCTCATGAGAACTAATAAGTGGGTACAAATAACCAAGGCAGATTTGAAAAGGCACTGTAATAAGGCACTACCAGCAAATATTTGAAATTGAAAGCAGCATGAACCAAGAATAGAACAACTGATTTTCTCTTCTTTTCTTAACTGCTTTTAAGTCAGTTGAGGGTGATGTAGAAAATTGCAAGGGAATGTCACTCCCAACCTAACCGTGAGAAGGAGCTGCATGGCCTTCAAAGTCAGCATTTTTTCTTGAGCCCCTGAGAGAACAAAGATCACAGGAAACGAAGGGAGTAAACCCCAGATAGTGTGCAGCCCCTAGGCAGAGGCAGAGGAGACCCCGGAATCGCCTCCCCTTTAGCAATGAAGAGAGAAAGGGGCCATCAAGACAGGGAAAGAGAACATGGCTGATGATTTTAATAGATTCTCAAAGGCTGTGACCATTTAGAATCCTTGGGAGCCCCAGACTCTGTGGGGGCCACATACTCACATGTGAGCTCTTTCCAAGGGTCCTGCTCAGCGCCTTCTGGAAACAGTGGCACAGACCTGGGACGAAACAGGAAAAACACCTCCTTTCCAAGATCCTCCTCTTAAATAAAAGTAAAGCTCTAAATTCTCCCCAGCCCAAGGCTCCCCAAAGACCCCCAGCTGCTGGGAAAGAAAAGCATAAGATCTGCCTTAGGAAACTTAAAAACAAAGAACAAGTTACAGGAAGCAGAAGGAAGGAATAATCCTTAGGACAGAAACCACTGAAAAAAGAAACAGAGTAAACTGACAGGTTGAAAATGGTACTGGGTAAAGATCAATAAACTTGATAAACTCTAATTGATCAAGGGGAAAAATGGAGAAGATGAACTGCCAATATAATAAAACAAAAGAAAGACCCTAGAGTCCTGCAGACCTCAGAAAGGACAATACGTGCTTATGATGAACAACTTTGTACAAACACATTTCATAACTTTGATAAATGGGTGGATTGTGTAGATCCACTGGGGAAAAAACCAAGGCAGTTATCAAACACCTTATTATCACAAAGAGAATTCCGGCCCTGAATGCTCACTTAAATTTTGTAACAAACATCAAAAGAAGAAATAATTCAACCTCATACTAATGGTCTCAGAAAACAGAGAAGGGAAGAGCTCCCTGCCTGACACGAGGCAAGCAAGACTCTAGTCCAGAGACACCAGGGGAAAAAAAATTAGGCCAGCATTTTTACAGTAACAAACACAGAAACACTAACAGATCAAATTCAGCTGGCTACAGAAGGGACAATATTCAGTTATGAAGCTGTGTTTATCCCCAAAATGTAGGTTGCTTTGTCATTTTTAAATCAGTTTCATTCACCATATTAACAGAATAAAAGACAAAAATATGATAGTTGGTGGAGTAAAACCTTTTAACAAAATTCAACATACATTCATTATTTAAAAAGAAGAAGAAAGAGAGAGAGAGAGAAAGAAAGAAAGGAGAGAAAGACAAAAGAAAAAGAAAATCCTCAGCCATTAGGGGTAGATGGAAATTTCCTGAGCCTGATAAAAGACATCTGCTTTTTAACATAATCCCTAATGGCAAACTATTGAACATTTTCCGCTCAAGATCGATAATGAACATTCATACCTCTTCTATCACAGTGAACTAGAAGCCCTTAGATAGACCAAAAAGGTGAGGAGAAGAAGTCAAAGGCATACAGAATGAGAAGATAGCAACAAAACTCTCTTTGTTCACAGACAGCGTGATCAGGTATGTAGAAAATCCTAGGGAAGCGGAGAATGACTGCAAGAACTAATCTGTAAATTTAGCAAGGTCGTGGAACAAAAGCAAATACAAAAATTAGCTTTGGTTTTACACAGGAACAATGGATAACAGCAAAATGAGATTTTAAAAAGAAGTCTGTTTACAATAGCATGGAGGAACACAGAATCCTTAGGAATACATTTACAGAAGATGTGCAAGAGCACCCGCTGAGAATGACAGAACACTGCTGAGCAAAGGCAGCCCTGGATAAAACGAGAGATAAACCACATCCACCTAGCAGAGGGCTCAATATTATTTAAATGTCATCTCTGAATGGATCACTCGATGCAGTGTCTTCCAGTCCTAGTCCCAGCGGGCTTTTTTGTAGAAATGAATGAAATGGTTCTAAAATTTATATGGAATTCCAAAGGGCCTAAAAATAGCACCATGCCATGGAACTTTCTCTGAGAATAGAAATGTTCTATTGAGCACTTTAAATGTGACTATTGTACCTTAGGAACTAAATCTTTACTTTTACTTAATTGTAATGAATTAAATTGAAATCACCACATGTCTCGGGTGAGCCGCTGTTTTGGATATTACCGCCCTAGACTACCCGAGGCAATCTTGAAAAGAAAGAAAATGAAGGCAGAATTTAGGCTCCTGGCTTGCAAAGCTTACATAACACAGCCACAGTCATGGAGACGGCACAGTGTTGGCATGAAAACACACAGGCCTATCGAGCAGCCAGAGCAGAGTCCAGGGCACCAGCTGGGCCAGCTCACATGACTGTAGACAGTGTCACCAAAGCTGCCCAACAGAGAAGCAGAGGTTTTTCAGAGGGGGCTCTGAGACACCTGGGTATTTCCCCGAGTGACAAGCAAACTTCAGCCCCACTCACACCAGGCATAAAAATGCACTGCAGATGAATCATTGACCTACAGGTGAAAATTACAGTTATTTTGTAAGAGGAAATCAAATACCCTTGTGTCCTGGGGATTGGCAAAATTTGGGGGAGTGGAGAGGAGCCCTGGGAAGATTTCAGGGCAAGGGATGAACTTATGATCGATGGATTCTGCCATGTGTGAATCTCCAGCACCTGCCTCAGGACAGAAAGGAACAATGAACCAGCACTGGAGTCCACTTAGGAACCTGCATGCTGATGTATTTCACAGTGATGGACGTGTACTACCCGAACCTGACGTCCTTCCCTTTTTTTACTATGCATGAAAAGCACGATGTTTTAAGGTGGATAGGAGAGTGGGCGGGCAAGAGATAATGAAGCAAAATCTTCACAGTAGGATCTGCCTGGTAGATGCAAGGATGTTTATACTCTTCTCCAACTTTATTTATTTATTCATTTATTTGGTACTGGGGATTGAACTCAGGACCTTGTGCTTGAGAGCCAAGCGGCAGCACCACTGATCTAAATCCCTGACCCCTCTTCTCCAGCTTTTATGTATGTTTTAGTTTTTTTCATAAAATGCTGGGAAGAAAGAAGATACATTAGTGGCTAGTAAAAGCATGCTCAGCATCATGAGAAATGAGGGGAATGAAAAATAAAACCATCACGAGAGACTTACACACCTGCCAAGATGGCTGGAGTTAGAACAGGACTACAGCAAGTGAAGACCAGGACATCAGCATGAACCTCGTACATGGCTGACATGGACACAAAGGTGTGGCACTTCAGAGACAGCCTGACAGTTTCTGAGCGTGAGACCTCACCTTACCTATGATACAGCAAAGCCACCCAAGCCATTTACCCAGGGGACACACGTGCATACATGCACAAGGAGATATCAGCAGGCATGTTCACAGTGAGCAATGGGATTCATGTCGGCTCAAACTGGAACTGTCCACACACAGGAGTGTGTATAAACAAGTGGGTAAACCAATACGGCATATCCTCAGAGTGGATTCTTCACTGGCAGTAAAAAGGGATGAACCAATGCACACAACAATGTGGCTGGATCTCAAAAATACTGTGTGGAGCAGAGGAAGTCCGGATACCAGAGTCTGAGTGTCGTGGTCCCATTCGTGTGTCCTTCTAGAGCAGTCAAGACTCCGAGTTCTATGGGCATGGCAGTTGGAGAAGTGGTCACCTGGTAGGGTAAGGAGAGGTGGGGAGAGGTGACAGGAGACACTGAGGACTCTGCACAATGGAAATGTTCTGTATCTTGATTTGGGTGGTGGTGGTTTGTCACAATTCATTGAAGTATACACTTATGTTCCCAGCATTTCTGGTATGTAATTCACACCTTAACTCTTTTAGAAAATGAAACATTTATGTATACATATGCTCATGGTGTGACCCAAAAATAAGGTATGGGTATAAATAAAACAATTATTACAGCAAAAGATACAATATCATGAGTCCCCCCTCAAAATACTCCCCTTTGGCTGGGGATTTAGCTCAGTTGGTTTCGCCCCCTGCCTTGCAAGCTCAAGGACCCGAGTTCGATCCCCGATACCAAAAAAAAAAATACTCCCGTTTATTTTGGACACACTTAGCCCATGATCCATGCCACTTTCTGAAGCAGCTGTGGAGTCCTCTTTTGTGAGTGTCTTTAGTGGTGCTGTCACGGCTGCCTCAATGTCCTGAATCGATTCAAAATGTTTACCTTTCATGGTCATTTTGACTTCAGGCAAAAGCTAGGAGACATCCAATGAGTAAGCCAAATCCAGTGAGTAAGGTGGATGAGGACACAGCATCATGTTTCCAGGAACCTGCCTTTCCATGGGACGACACTCAGCAGCAGCATTTATCATAGTATTTCTCATATCTTGTAAAGACACTCATGAAAGAGGACTCCAGCACTGCTTCAGAAAGGAGCAAGAACGATGGGAAGAACAGCAATAGAAGTTATATATCTCCATGTAACAAAATATTGTGAAATCATTAAATGTCTTAACAACATGGTAAAATGTGCATCATATTAAATCAATTTCGTAAAGGATATAAAATTGTACATTAAGTATATCCCCAAACTGCAAAAGCTATTTCTTTGAGTCTAAGACATTATTGATTTTAAGGCTAAATACAGGTTTTACTAATATCTTTTCCTCTAAGGGCATGATCAAAGTTTGAGACTGACATGTGACTTGTCCCTTCTTGGCCAGGAATTTCCAGGAGACAAAGTCTGGTCCTGCTCCTCAAGACACCTTGCACCTTTGGCTTCCTGAATGCTGCCTGGGATCTGGCAGGTGCAAGGCTGTTTTTCTCCAGAAACCAAAACAGGCAGCTCTGACCTGTTGCTTTCCTGCCTCCAGAGCTCCTTCAGCCTGGGAATACAGCATTTTCACTGCTTCTCCTATTTAGCAACCTCATAGCTTTGTTTTGGTTTTTACTTTCCATAATCTAAGTGAATTATGTATAACTGGTTTACTGGGGAATCTCAGCGTGTTGGGAGTATAAATTACAATTATAAAAATGTTGTTTCTTCCAAGCCTCCATCCAAGTAGAATCTGCTGAACCCCCTTCCCGCTAGGTAGGAGGTCCCTTCTGACATCTTGGCCGGATTACAAGGTGCTGTTGTCATTTTTATCTTTAGAACAGCCTGCTGGCGTTTAAAACTAAACCTTGTTTATTTCTAAAGAATGTTTGGCCCTAACTCAACCTAGGGCCTGTGGCTGGAGCTCTCTGGGACCCCAGGAGCATGGAGAGCCTGGAAAGTCCTCTCATGACTCAGTTTCCTAACCAGGGCATGTGCTGGGGGAAGCTCAGAAGAAGGCCGAGGGCGAGTCCACTGGCTAAATAGCGACCCAGGGAGGGACCAAGATACCCTTGTCCCTTCTTCACAGGCCCCTTCCCTCTCTTTGGGGGTTCTCAAAGTCCTCCCTGGCTTTTTCCCTTAAGGAGAAAATGGCACCCCCCATGGGCAGACAGCATCTGAAGCAATGCAGCTCTGGGAAGACCTGTGTGCCCTCAGACCCAGCCCAGGACTGCTTTGGCCTCAGGAGGATCCTAGTGGTGTCTTGGGTACCATCAGGTCTCCCATCAGGGACTCAAGGACACTGCCCCCTTGCGTACCACCCTGCTACCTTCACTCTGAGGTCAACAAGGTCACCTTGGCCCTTGGCATTAATCAGCCTGGAGGAGGGCAAAGAACATAGAAGCTGCCCCTTCCCATTCCATCAGCCAGAATCCAGTCCTTTGGCCACACCTAGTTGCAAAGGAGACTGGGAAAGGTATTGCCTTTTGTCTCAGAGAAAAATAAAGCAAGTTTGGCAAAGACTCAGCTAGGTTCAGTGACACTCTGGTTCTGGCCAGACGGCACTGCCTAAGGAACCCCTTCAAGTGTGGCAGCTGATGGTACATAGGCAGCTGTCCAAGTTCAAACTTCAGCTTATGACAGCACTGTGTTCTCGGCTTTGGCCTTTGCTATAGTCCTGGGTCAGCAGGGTTAGCCCAGCTCAGTCTAGAACAGAGGTATGATAGGAACCACATGGCTTTTTTTGCAGGGGGGAGGCTTCAGCTGGTGTCTGTGCTGGGATGAATCCCAGAGGTCCCTGGACAATTCCCATGAGTGTCCTCTGTCCCTGAGAACACTGCTCTGATCCAAAGGAGCCAGCAGTTTCCCCTGGTTTTAATTGTGCTGAGTAGGGAACCATGAGGATTCTGGGAACACAGTAACATCTGGATCCAGGAGTTCCATGGCCACATCCCGATGTTCCAGAAGATAAGAGAGGACCATGGGAAGAAGTGGTGAGGTGGCCAGGCCAGGTACAAGATGGGGACCCCAGAGCAGGGCTGTGATGAGGGGCTGGTCAATGGCCTAGGGACAGGGTAGGCCACCTCTAATGGACACCAGCTTCCAGACACATGGCGGGGGGGGGGGCAAGATCTCCAGAGGCTGCAGGGAAATGAGTAATTCAGGGTAAGGAGGAGGAAAGCAGCCAGCCACAGGGCTGCTGTGGGCATCTGTGTGGTGGGAGCGTGCCCCCAAACTTCCTGTGAGGAAAATTTAATTCCCAATTTGTCTGATAACAGGATACTGACACAGGCCTTGGAATGATTAAGGATGGATGAGGTCATGAAGGCGGGGCCTTGCAGTATTAGTGGCTGCAGATGGCTGGCTGTCCTCTTGCTGTGTCCTTCCCTGAGACTCGACCTTTAGGACCTAATCACCCCACCCAAAGGAGCCACTTCCTGCTTCCATCACACAGGGGTAGGGAAGGTTTCAATACATGAACTGGGGGACACATTCAGTCTATCGTAGATGGCAACATTAAAACCAGTACATTAGTAAGTACCTAATACACATGACAGGCAGTCCACTTGGGGAACAAAAGGATTGTGCTTTCTGGAGGCAGAGGTCACCACAAACTGGAGAGGGTTGATGGCTGTGGAGTCAACCGAGATGCATTCAAACTCCTGTGCATATCCGAGGCCACTTTGAGCCTGACCTTCACCTTTCCTGGGCAGCAGCAGTGGCCCCTAGTGAACACAAAGGAAACCACAGCTATCGCGGGATCAGCACAACAGAGAAGCATCCCTAGAAACACAGAGCTCCCAGGAAGTTTAGTGCAGCACCATTTATGCCAACAAAAGTTGTGAACGAGAGAAATCTCCAAGGGAAAGGGACCATTTGAGTGGACGGTGGCAAAGGCCAACTCGTAAGCCTTCGTAACAGTGTGGGCAGGTGACCCCTTCTGCAAAAAAGTAAATAGGGGCCTGGGGATTTAGCTCAGTGGTGCCGCCGCCTGCCCCGCAAGTGCAAGGACCCAAGTTTGATCCCCAGTACCAAAAAATTAACAAAAAGTAAATAGGACAGATTGGGTTTGGGGTTCTCGGGAATTTCCAGTCTTGCTCGCCAGGTGCTGTGATAGGATGGTCCAGATGGCGCCCACTGTATTGGGTTAGGTGCCACGGAGAGAGCTGGTAAAACCCGCTCTGCCCTTGAAGAGCACAGTCAGGTAGGGGAGACGGAAGGACAGGTGACAAATTTTACTAGGTGTGCGCCTGGGCGGGGGACCCCTGAGCAGACCAGCCATTCAGGGAGGCCGGTTAAAAGGAGCACGTTGGACCTGCATCTTCACAGTTGGAGGAGAGCCAGGAGGCAGCAGCAAGTCTGGCCTGGGGGGTGGGGACAGAGAACCAGCCTGGTGGCCCTGGTGATGGGCAGCTACGGGATGGAGACCAGGAAAGAGTGACACTTGGGTTCCTGGCGTGGGTGGCATGGATGGAGATGGAGTCCCTGAGGGAACCTGCAGGGCCCCACGATGAGGTTCCACGAGGGCTGAGGCCAGGCACGTGTGAACCCACGGGGAAGCAAGTCACATAGTGACTGAGGGTAGAGGCCCAGACGCGCCCCACCCCAGTCCCCAGATCTCTGGCCCCATGGAGGGAAGAGCAGGGCCTGCCGCTCTAGGCCTCCACCTCTGCCCGACGGGGGCAGGGTCCTTGTAATCTCTCTGGGACCAACTGTGTGGAGACAGCAGCAGGGCTCCGTGTACACTCACCGCACAGCAGATGCAACCGACACCAGCCTACCTGGCTGGGACACCAGTTCTTACCCCCTACCCAGGGGCCACTATCACAGAGCCCACACAGTGGACGTCTCAGGGCAGGGCCTTCTGCCAGCTGGAGGAAGAGGCCACCCAGCCCATGACACCTGGCTCCTCGAAGAGCTACCCTACAGCTCTGCCCTGCATACCACTCCCCAAAGCAATTCTGCCTTTTCAGGCTCCACACTTGTTAACTGGGATTTTTGGAAAAACCTTATAATAGTTTGAATCATCTGGTGAGACAAGCTAAGAAAATGCGGGGGTGGAGAAACCTGCTAGACCTGAATACAAATGATAAAACCCGAACCCGCTCTATCAGGGGGCTGCTGAGCAGGATACATGGATCCGAGGGGTAGAAATAAGTTGGCCCTAGATGAACACGGCCCCGTGACAGAAGCACTCACTGAGGGGAGGGGCTGGCACAGGACGGCAGGGTGTTTATATCTTGAAAAGCCTTTCAGTGACACCACAAACCAAGTGAACCCCTAAATGATGATTATTAAGGGGTGGGGACCCCAAGTTTAAACCACAAAGGAGACCTGGGATGCTGGAGGGACCCCCATTCTGCTCCTCCCACAGTAGGGGCAGACTCTGCAGGGGCCCATGCGGTAACATTCTTCTCATAACACTAAAATAGATGCGTCTTCCCACCTTCTCCCGAGTATACAGTGCAAGTTTTCAGAGGTTTCACAACACTTGATCTTGTGAAGGGTCAAGTGTAAGCCAAGCATGGTGGTACACACTTTTAATCACAACACTCTGAGAGGCTGAGACAGAAGGATCCCAAATTCAAGCCCAGCCTGGGCGACTTAACTTAGTGAAATCCTGTCTCTAAAATGGGGACCAGGTTGAGGAGCTCAGTGCAAAGGCCCTGGATTCAATCCCCAGTATTAGAGATACATCAATAAATAAAAAGGATCAAGTACAGAAGTATGTCTATGACTCCAGCCGTCTATTAGCCAGGCAGTAAAGAAATTTACAAAAATATAAAACAATGCCACTCTTCCTAATTTGGGAGTTTTCATTAAAATACAATTATTTATGTTGATAAGTCCTAAGTGTCTCTTTATATTCTTAAACCATATTCTAGGGCTGGGGAGTTAGCTCAGTGCTTCTGCTTCCTGTCTTGCAAATTCAAGGTCCCAAGTTTGATCCCCGGTACCAAAAAAACCCCCACCATATTCTAAAGCATTGTTTTAATGTACAATGTGGTAAATACTGACATACTGACCCATACGTGCAAAAGCCCTCTGGGGTTCGCAGTAGCCCTAAGGGCCCAAAGGAGTCCCGAGACAAGAAGGTGTGAGAAGGTGTGAGCCTAAATGGTGTAGTGGGGACCCTTTACCAATGGGGACCCCAGGCCTCCCCCTATGCTCCAGGCACTGTGTACAGGTGCTGACCACACAGCTAAGAACAGGCAAGACACACCTGCCTGTTTTGTGTTGCAGTCTACTGGACATGTGCTGGGAGATACTGATTAGCTCTGTGTCAAAACTTCGGCCCATTCCCACTCACCACATGCACACACACACAAACACACCCCACGCACACAGTAAAAACCTGCAAACATGACACACACCATGTTAGTATCTTTAATATATGAGCTTATACAAATTTATCAGACCTCAGTAGATAGAGCGAAGGACATTGACAATCCACAAAAGAGGAAATACAACCACTGAATGTGAAAAGATACTCAACTGAGTTAGAAATCAAGGAAGCGCAAACTAAACCACAGTGCCTTTGTTGTTTTTATCAAATGAGCAAACATCAAGCCCGATAATACCCAACACTGGCAAGCTGGGCCACTTCCCCTTGCTGGTGGCAATGTAAATGGATACTGTTGGAAATTATTTTGTCACTAGATAATAAAAACATGAAAGATCTTCGTACTCTTTAATGATGCCCCCTCTGGGAAGCTATCCCAAGGAAATAACTTGACAGTGGGAAAAAACCTTATGCAGAGCTATTCATCGACTGGGAACAGTGAAAACTTAGCAACAGCACTGATCAATACTTGGCACCACTATCCCTTTGCTTGGTGGAAGAGTTCAGCAAAACATGATCAGTCCCGATACTGGGCAGCTGCGACAGTCAGTGAAGACAGCGGCGCAAAGGGCATCGTTACAGATGGCAAAGTGTCCTAACTACAGAAAACGCAAAGAAACCATGGGGTGGGGCCTGGAAGGAGAGTCACCAAAGTGTTCGTTCTTACTCTGCTCTTTCTTCTACTTGATTTCCCAAAATTCCTACAATGAGTAGGTTTACCTGGAGAATGCAAAGACCTGGTGGGTTTCTCAGTGGGTACGTGTGAAGAGCTGGGTTTTCTCCCTCTAACCCAGGCCAGCTGCCACCAAATCTAACATGAAGTCCCCAAGAGAGACTGCCATGAGACTTGAGGTCCTCGACACTCTGTGACCTTGGGTCACCCTGTCCCCACCACCCCCAACACGGGAGTTCTGCCCCTTGATCCAACCATTCTGGGCCTTCCTTTCAAAGCCCCTCAGTGATATGTCCCAAGCAGGGGACCAAGTGTCACTGCTCATACTGCAAGACAGAGGCCTCTGCAAGGGTCTCTTCCCTCTGCCCCTAGTGTGTCCTTCTGCCCAGCCCTAGCTGCTCCCATGCCCACAGCGGAACTTCCGGGTGGGCCTGCGCAGCGGTGGGAGCAGCTCCATGACAGCAGGCACGCATGGGTCAGGACTGTCCTGTCTCACCACAGCATGGTACTTTTCATACCTCTCACCTACTTACCTGGGGTCAATGACACGAGTTTCTGCTGGTTCCTAGAAGTCACCTAAATGCTTTAGGACATGAAGTTAGTCCCAAGGTCATGCTACACACTAGGCCAGGGTGTTGCCCCTACCAAATGCAATTGTCAGACATACCTGGAATGCAATGAAGCTTACTTACCAGACGGGTTCCACGTGGACCAGAGAGCAGTTACGTCATCCCAATGACCATGACACCAAGAGACACAGAAACTCTTCACATGCATTCACTCCACTGCCTTTTTGAAGTCACTACCTGTCCTCCGAAGATGGAGAAACTATAACCCCAATATGTACACAGCAGCTCCCTTCCCACCTGTCTTCAGCTTGGCCCCTTCATTACTGAGGTCTCCCTCCAGGGCTGCGTGGGCCTCTCATCCTCTGCCTGGGACTGAGCTGTCCTCCCCTGGAGGCAGGACGGCCCCTCAGCAACTCCAGCACAGGTTTCCTGGCCCTCTCTCATCTGCTCCGGGTCCAGAGTTGTGGGGAGCTATCGAGAAGGTGGCACCTGCGTGACAGCTTGTGTCCCAGGCCCACCAACAGAAACACCAGGGGACAAAACACACCAGTCACCAAACCAGACGCAGCTCGAACGGAAGCAACCTGGACCAGGCACAACCACCGGAGCCAAAGGCCCAGCAGCGGACCAAGAAGGGAGGGTGGCCAGCCCTGCCTGCAACTCTGGCCCCGGGGTGCGTAGCCGCCCGACTCTCAGACACAGTGCCGGCGCGGGCACAGGAGCACTCACAGGCCCAGGACTGGGAAGATGGCAGATGTGCCCTTCCATGCTGGGCCAGGCCACACAGAACCCTTCCAGGGCTCTTCCCTCTGCAGGGCCTCTGTCCCCAGGTACCACTGTCCCCCTTTGTCTGGAGACACCTTCACTAGCGGGCACAAGCCCTGCCAACACAGTGCTGGGACAGAAGGGCACTGGGCACAGGAGGAAGTGACCAGCACTCCACCCATCAGCAGCTCCACCTGGAGCGGCAGCCCCAGTGGGCCCCCTCTCTCCACTCCCAATTAACGAGCACCACGGTCCAAGCAGAAGGACCTGGACGGAGTCCAGGAGAACCTGAAGCCTGTGTCCAGGCAGCTGGTCAGCAGGGCAACTGGGCTAACAGAATTTACGATGAGTAGGAGGCCGTGTCTGTGGACCCCAGCAACCACAGGACCTCCTTGACCTGGGAGGGCCGTAGTTGCTTTAGAATCATGGCCACTTTCCCAGCAGCATCAAACTATCTGGAGAGGATGGGTCCTGGGACCCAAGCTTGGGATCCCAAGACACAAGACGGCTTTGGGCAGGTGCACAGGTAGCCCTTCTGCAGCCAAGGCAGGACTACTCAGTCAGGGGCAGATGAATCCTGGCTCCTCTCAAGTCCAGGTGGCCACGTCAGTGCCGTTTATGTGACAATGAAGTATGGCTGGAGTGCCACAGTCCAAAGGGCCTGGCCAAGTCTGGGTCAGAATGGGGTTTCTTGGTTGTCTCTGTGAGGAAGCCAAGGCCATACACCTTGAGGTACAGCTGTGTCCCTCAGAATCAGGACACATGTCCTGCAACTTCATCACTTTAGGACCAAGCAGTTCACAACTCTTTGCCTTTACAAATGCCACCCAGACACTGCCTTCAGTGTTTCAGGTATTCCCAGAGGAGCTGGCTCCAGAGTAAGAGAAAGTCTATTTGTTCTCTGACAAAGGTGAGACCCAACAGCCTGGGTACAGGGAGAGCATGCCACATGGCATCTTTGGAGACCTGGAGATGGCGTGGGTGGCTGAAAGGCTGAGATGAAGGCCACATGGCACCTGAATGAAAAGGGAGTGGGTCTCAAGTCAGGACACAAAGAGACATGGCAGAGGGGGTGACCGAACACTAGCAGTTCGTGAGCTCCCCATCGGAGACCCAGGGCAGCAACAGAGCCACTAGTGTCCACCCCTCGGCATGCCACAGCTCTTGGTAATGGGTGTGCACGAATCCACTGCTCGTGGTGACCTAATGGAACTGCCCAGGATCCCTGGTCCACAAGGGCCTTCTAGAGCAGAGGAATGTGGCTTCCCCATTTCCTGGCGCCGCCAGAACCCTGGCAGCTGAAGCTGGGGATGAATGGAGACGCATCTGGAAGATATCCTCCCCTTCCCTGCCGCAGTCAGCTGGACTGCATGGTGGTACAAAGTGAAGCTTGCCCTGGCAATGCTAGAATAGCACTTGGCCACTGATGGCTACCCTAGACCCTGGCAGGGCTGGTCCCCTCTCCAGGTAACCACATCAAGCCACCAGCTTGGCCATGCCGGTTCTTTCCATCCAGAGCCCATTGGCAGGAGCAGGGCAACCAGGCAGGGAGCTTCCCAGGGTCTTGCAGAAAGTGCAGCAGGAGTATCCAGGCTGGAGGTCAAGGGTGGCAGTCCAGATGGTCTCAGAGTGTGCTGTGCAGTCTGTGGGATTGGAGCAGCAGAGTTGCCATCTCTAGAGTAGCTGAGGTTGCAAGGAGAGGGGAGCATGCACTGAGTTGCAGGTACAGAGCTAGCATGTGACAAAGGAAGAACAGCAAGGCAGGTGACCAGGGCGCCCAAGCAAGGCGGGAGGAAGACCTATGGAACAGGAGGCACAGGAAGGGTCGGCTTTGAAAGGGCGATGCTATTGTATGGTCATTTCTTCTCCACAGCAAAGAGCATATGCTACCCAGATGGCTGCAGATGCTACCAGGGTGGTGGCGGCCTCCTAAAGGTTCCGTGCCCGAGTGGGCAGAGCCGGAGCTGGACTGGTCCCGTTGGAGGCTGGATGCACTGGGCAGGGCCCAGTGCCCGCAGCGGCCAGCTGGCGGCACAGCATCTGCCGCTCCCGCACTGCCCTGTTGGAGGCGGAAGTCTTCCTGATCTGGGCGCGCCGCGCGTGCCTCAGCGGGGACTTGTAGGTTCTCCGCAACTCGGCCAGGAAGCCCTGATAGTCGTTTCGCAAGGGGCTGTCCGGCTGCATGTGAGGGATGGCCCACTTCTCGGCCTCCCCAGTCAGGCGGGACACGAGGAAGGCCACTCGCTCGGCCTCACCTGGGAAGCGGGAGGCCTGGAAGATCATGAACCTGTCCATCTGCATCAGGAACCCCGCCAGCTGGCCCGGGTCTCCGGAGAAAGGCTCGGGCAGCGAGGTGGGCGGCGTGGTCATGGGGCGCGTCCCATTGGAGGTGATGGCAGAGATGGGCGGCGTGATCTGCAGAGCCCCGGGGATGCGCGCGCGGGTGCGCAGCAGGGTCAGCTCGGCCATCACGCTCTCCAGCATGTTGGTGAGGTTGGCCTTCTCAGCCCGCAGCGTGGAGGCCTCGCGGCGCAGCGCGGAGTTGGTGAGGCGCAGCGAGGTCAGCGTGTCGATCACGTCGTCCATCTGGGCATTGGCGGCGGCAGCGGCCGAGGCCGGGCTTTCGGCCTTAGAGGTCTGCGGCTGCACCATTGTGGCCGCGGTCCGCTGCACGTGGAGGCCGATGGGTGGGCGCAGGGGGGGCCGGGCGCCACAATCAATCGCGGGCCTCCGGGAGCTGGGGCAGGGCGGACTTGGGCAGTAACGTCCAAGCAGGTCGGGATGCAGGACAGAGAGGGGGCCAGGCCCTGCGCGGGCCTCGGGGTCGCGGCCTGGTTCCGGTTTCGGATGCTACTCTGGGGAGGCCTCCCGGGGACCAGGAGGTTGGGCGAGAGGCCAGCTGGCTGTGGGCCCTAAAGGATGAAGATTTTTCTTTTTTTTAATGGTGTCGACTGCGGAAGAGTGGGTGCGGGGTGCACAGCCGGCAAAGAGCCCCGAGCCCACCTGGGCAGAACGAAGATGGCGGCACCTGCAGGACCTGGGCTTGTGCGGGGCAGCGGGCAGGCGTACCTGGGGTCTCCAAGGCTCCTTCCGCGCCGGCCGCGACCGCGATGGCCCACTCCGGGACGCGACCAGGCCGATGAGTCACCGCGACGCCCACCGGAACTGCTTCCTGGTCAGCGCGGCGGCGAGGGTGGCGGGCGGCCTCCGGCAGGTGCGGCGCCGTACCGGGCGGGGCCGGGTCGTGGCGCAGAGCGGTCACCGCGCGGCCTTTGTGCGGGCGGGGCCGACGCGGTGGCGACGGCAGCGGGGACCAAGGGGCCGTGCGCGAGCCCCGCTGGTTGCCATGGAGACCGCCCGCTGTGGAGCGAGCAGCAGCAGCTGGAGCCCCGCCCCGGAAGTGACGCAGGTCCCGCCTCCTAGGGATCGTGGATGACCTACTTGCCTCAGCAGCCAATCAACGGTGAGTGTAGTTGTGGTGGTTTTATTACCGCTTTTCTCTGCTCCTTCCCAAGATTGCTTGCAAAGCTCTTTTTGTAGATGTAATTGTATTTTAAATGAAGTTGACTTCTTACTGTAACTTGAATATAAATTCAGTGGAGTATATATGCATTGTAGCAAGTCTTGAGAAGTCTTAAAACCTTTTCAGTCATCTAAAGATAGCAAATGGTAATATTTCTGTACTTCCTGTCACTTTTCCAAGATATTTCCTACTATAAAGTACCATTTTTTACTTTTCAAAAAATTTTCCCCTTTCCTCGGATCCCCTTCTCATCTCCAGAATCTCTACCTCCCTGCTTCCTATCATCTCTCTTTTATTTTGCTCTTTTTTTTATATTCTGGGTTTCTCATATAAGAAAAACCACATGATATTTATGTGTCTGATTTATTTCACTTAGCTTTAGGGTCTCAAGATCCATTTTCCTATAAATGACTCAAATGTATCCTTCCTTGTGGCTGTGTAATACTCCATTGTGTATACATACCTCATTTTCTTTATCTGTTCATTTATTGATGGGCATATAGGCCAATTTCGGTGAAATACTATTTTTGTGCCTTATAAACTGTTTTGTAATCTTAACAGCATATTGAATTCAACCATGCCTGTTTTGATAGGTCTCTATTTTACTGTTCACACTGAAGTTTTATAAACCACAGTGGTATGTAAATCCCAGTCTCTTTCTCTGCAGGCTTCCTGGGGTCAGTGCCAAGGAGAGAAATTATCAGACCAGAGTGTGTGAACTATTAGACCCAGGATCTAGATGCCTTTCCAGCTTGATTTTGCTGAGCTGCTTGGGAGTGGCCAGTTCCAAGCTGAGTCCTGGCTGGAGAGAAAAGACAACCGCCATGCCAGTCTTTCCCGGGCAGGCCTACACTCTATAGGCAGCCTGGGATGGAGTGGGATCCACTGCCACCCACAGCTGTCACTCCAAGTTGGGAAGTGGGGGTGGGGGTGCCAGCACTTGGAGGGATGCTTGTATCCCAGTCTGCCAAATTGTGCAGTTTCTGTGACCAGCTGAAAACCTACAGGGTATGAAGTATGAGAGGAAAGAATGAAGAGATTGTGGCCTTCAGCTGCTTCCATGAGATCTCTCCCAACTCACATGGAGGCAGGAACTCTTAACTTGGACTGAGGTCAGCAACTTCAAACACAGAAAGTGGCCTGGACTTCTCTGCCCCTCCTGATTCTTCAAACCACAAGAATCCCCATCCACTCCTGTGAGACACCCCTCAGTCTCCCGCAGTGCCAGAGTTGCATCTCCCCTGGTCCCTGGTTGCTTTGCACAAGAGTATGGTGTCTGCTGTAATTCCAGACGTGGTTGACACTCTAAATCCTAAATTCCCAAGTGCCTTGACTATAATGTACACCCTGATGTCGGAAATGATAAAACCTGAAATTGAAGAGATAACATTTACTTGTATTTCACCTTATGTCAAATAGGACATAAGGTGGCAGCACATTAAAATAGAGCAAAATAAAAATGACAGAATCTTAAAAATAAGCAAAGCAGAGAAAGAGTACAGGGATTCTGATTCAGATGTTGCTAGGACTCATGCTCTGAAGTCCCTGTCTCTGCTCTGAACACAGAACCACAAACTGTACAAAGAGACTATTAAAGGATTTGGCTGGGCTTGAAAACAAGATAAACTTTACTGTGGTCTAGAGACATAGACTGCTGAGTATTGGACTAGCCCTGGGCCTGCTGGGCCCTAGGTCCCGAGGCATAATAGGAGCATAAGGGTAGGAGCTGAGCCAGGCTTCCTGTTGAAGCCTGGGTTTAGAGGAGAGAAGAGTCACCCTTGTGTTGGGAGTCTAAGAAATCTGATTCGTCATAGGAATAAAATGTGAAGATGTAGCCCTGAGACAGACAAGGAAGAATACAGACACAATCTCATGGGTCTCATGGCCCCAGATTGCTGAACCTAATGGAAGGTCCTGATTCTGAACCGACAATAAAAAAAAACACATTTCTGTACTGCAGACCAGGGATCCAGTGGGGCAGCTGAGAAAAAGGTTTTTGACCTGAGATTAGCCTGAAAACCAAAACTTTAAAGCTCATGATATCATCTAATGCTATGAATAATGCCCAACGAAGTCAGTAGCCTACATCAGTTAACTCTAGGTGAAAATTTAATAATAGAACAATCTGAAAAATAGAGTTTAAGCATATTTGGGATGCTCAGTGAAAACAACAAAGGAGTAAGGTTTGTGAAAAACAGAGATGGTGAAGGAAAAGGCATAATGTAACAAGATCAGGTAGCTATGGTACTGGATGGATAGATCTTGCGCTTGCCAGGCAGGCATCGGAACCACTGAGCTAAATCCCCAGCCCAGAAAAATATATTTTAAAAGAAAATATGGTTGCACCAGGGATGTGGCTCAGTGGCACCTCGCCTGCCTGGCAGGCACAAGGTCCTGAGTTCAATTCCAGGTACCACACACACACATACACACACACACAAAATATATATATATATGGTTGGCTTCTATTTCTGGGAAGATGCAGTAGATATGCTCTTCCTTATTCTTTCCACAAGCACAACTGAAAGCAACTTTAGAAATAAAACAAACCAAAAATCCCTAAGACTAAAAGGTGGAGTGAAGAAGGCAGACTGGCTAGGGCACTCAGGACCCAGGGAATGACATGGCATTGAGTTCCAGGGTGTCTTTTACCTCATTTATTCCAGAGACAATACTGAAGAAGCTGGGTGTAGACCCAAAAAAGTCTACTCTCTAACCAAAGGACCATAAGAAGAACAGACTGGCATGACAGACAACCTGGACTGTTCACCACTCTACTCCACCCAAACACTGGCTGTCCTCAGATTTATCTATGGATTCAACACAATCCACATCAAACTCGTGGCAACCTTTTTGCAGGAATTAATATGCCGAATCTAAAATTAATGTGGACAGTCAAAAGACCTACAATAGCCAAGACAACCTTTAACAAGAGCTACATTGGAGGGTTCACACTTTGCATCTTATCCACAGAGCTACAGTAATCGAGGCAGTATGGTACTGGTATAGATTAACGGACTAAAACTGAGGGTTGAGAAATAACCCTAACATTTATGGTCAAGTCATTTTCAAAAAAGGCACCATGGCAACCATAATCTGTATCACATCATTAACACTTTCCTTGGGTCTGTGACCCACAAATGACTCAGAATAGAGTTCATTGCTAAATATAAATTCTAATCAGTCTTTTTGATATTTTAGCTATCATGGAAAAAATTAGCTACTTTTGTGTTTTTATGAAGCCCATGGAATAAAGATATCCAAAGATTTAAATATTTTTATCTATTTTGATTTTTGTTAACATTACTCTTAAAACATTCAGTAATGATAAAGGTATAAAAAACTGCACGGTAGCAGAATTGGAATATTTAAAGATGGTTGACATTTTTTTGTATAGCTCTGCAACGAAATGTTTTGTAATTTGCTTTCATTACCAAAATCCAGTATTTGGCAGCCATGGTTTAGGTAATGTTTAGTACTATCTGTTTGCATGTTAACAACAGAATCTTTGGAGGACCCACAAATCATGATACTGAACACATTTCTGAGGCTTTCTGAGCATCACAGCAAGTGCTATGGCAATACTTAAGTAGACTGAGATGTTCCAGGCTGATTTCAAGAAGAAAACTGTAAATGACTGTTCTATGTGCTCTGAAAGAATGAGTTCATGTGTTTTCCCAGCCTTCTGGGTCACTGATTGGGGACATTTGTTGTTCCAGTAATAACTGGCAGCATGGCATACCTGCAGTGCACCTTAATATTAGCAAGGTTTTAATTCTAAAACAGAATAAAACTGTTAAATAATTAATTAATAAATAAATAAATAAATAAAAAGGCCCCATGGGCCAGGGATTTGGCGCCTACCTTGAAAGCTCAAGGTCCTAAGTTCGATTTTCAGTACGGAAAAAAAAAAAAGGCACCATGACAATTCAGTGAGCGATAGTCTTTTCTAAAACTATCCACAACAAAGTTGTGTTTGTGTAAGTTAGACCCCATACCTCGAATATGACACAAGCCCCTAACTCACAACAAACACAGAACTAGCTGAAAAGGGATCAAAGACCTAAACCCAAGAGCTTAAAGCTACAAAACTCTTAGGAGAAAAACAGGCTAAATTTTTGTGACCTTGGATTGAGCAATTGTTTCTTAGATATAACTGAGGAGCGCAAGTGACAGAAGAAAAAGATAGATAAACTGGACTCCACCAGAATGAGAATTTTTGTGTTTCAAAGGACACTATCAAGGAAGTAAAAAGCCACCCAACACACAGAATGGGAGAGACTATTTGGAAACTATCTATCTGATGAGGGTCTAACACCCAGAGAACATGAAAAGCTCATAACTGATTAAAAAGAAGACAACCTAATTTTTAAAATGAGCAAAGGATTTGAATAGACATTTCCCCAAAGAAGATGCACCAGTGACCAATAAGCACATGCCAAGAGTCTCAGTGACATTATCATAAGACAAATACAAATCAAAACCACAATGAGATACCACTTCATATCCCCCACTATTGCTGTAATCTAAAAGACAAGCAGTAATGTTGCCAATCAGCCTAGGATTCTTTTACTCAATTGAGATGAAAATTATCAATCAGTAAAGTGCAGCTCTGTCAGCAGTCCTGATGTCACCAGGTAATGCTGGATATCAACAGATGACACAACCAGCTGCTGGTGACTACCACTGCCAGCCGTCACTACCCGATGCCTACTGTGCTGGACACCATAGGTGGACTCTACCAGGTGTTTCTCCATCAGCTACTGGTCTGTAGAGCTCTTCAGTGCTAAGTTTATTAAGTTTATTGCTCTTCCTTTGGAAAAAACAGCTCTGTCCATGCTACTCTGGATAAGAATCCCAAGTACATGTGTAGGACTTTGGGAACTCATTCTGAGAAATAAATCACAGCCAGGTTAACAGGAGCATCAAAGCGAGC